TCGTTTATTATTATTAAAATCATGGAAAAGTGATAAACCCATAAGGGTAATATATGTTACAGATTTAAGACTAGCAAGGGAAGGGTAGCTGTAAGTCATTGGTACAAGAACCCTTTAAAAGGCTCAAGGTACTCCTTTGAAAGAAGAGTGTGTTCTACCGGACAGTTATTTGCAGGATAGATACTGTCTGAACACTCATAAAGTATGATAAAAGGAAATACATGGACAAAATGCTAGAGAGAGAATTGTAAGAACTTACAGGTAAGGACCCACAAGGAGTTAGGGGAAAGTGAGGATAGATGAAGAACAGGAAGGGGAGAGGAAAGGCTACAGAAACAGAAAAAGAGTCAGGGCTATACCCAGCAATAAACGCACTGTATGGCCTATATTCTTCAAGACTGGTGGGGAAAGGGCGGCAAGAGATCGGACGGTGTGGCGACGCCTAAGCGACGCTAAGCACTAACTCGAATTTTTTTTATGGTGTGAGAGACGCAAGTGTAGCAACATAGCCATCTGTTGTGATGAAAGGGACTTATGTGCAACAGCTGATGAATTTTATTGTAGCCAGTTGGCTTAGTGGCTTACGCACTGGCTTGGGATTTTACGACTCACTTGCTGTAAGTTTTAACCCCACCTGTGCCGTAGTTTAACAGTTGGTATCGTTATTGGTGAGACGTTTGGCCTTTTCAGCAAGCTTCTTCATTCAAGATTCGGAGACAACAGACGTATTGGAGATGTAAATATGAGGTGATCAGTCCCTCAGCCTTGGTGTATGTTCAGTTCTATAGCTTCGACCAATGAGGCTATGGAGTTGAACACACACACTAAAGCCGAGGAATTGACCACCTGAAACTCGCTTCTTCAAGGCTGAAGAACTGATCACCTCATGTCAATATCTTGAATACTACTGTCTCCTCTGAATTTCGACTGAAGAGGCCTGCTGAGCAGGAAAACCGTCTCCACAATAAAGAGACACCCAATTGTCTCACTCATCTACTGTCCGTCCTGTAAGTTATTCATATAATGAGAGTCACTCTGATGCAAGAACCTAACAAGCATCAGCCAGTGGATCTACTGCAGCAATTCTTTGTCTTGATATTGTATAGTGAATGGTTGGGTGTGAGAAATAACTATCATATAAGACACAACCTGCATGTACAAAACTTAAACTTGGAATGACGTTCCAGGTGCGACTTGGACCATTAATAAGTATAGTCAGTAATAACTATCAGAATAGGTACAGGGTATATATATATATATATATATATATATATATATTATATATATATATATATATATATATATATATATATATATATATATATATATATATATATATATATATATATATATATATATATACGTAAAAAATGTTAACTGTAAAATAACTTGTCGAAGAAATGTCTTTATTTAAATATTATATTTAAAGAAATATCATTAGAGAAATATCTTTAATAATAATAATAATAATATCTTTAGTTACTACAAGTACATGTACAAGGTATACAGTCCTAGGTGACAACAATGACATACTACTATATAGAAATGTCGGGCAAATTAGATCAGTTTTGTCCCAGGATGCGACCCACACCAGCCCACTAACACCCAGGTACCCATTTTACTGATGGGGAACATAGACAACAGATGGAAAGAAACACGTCCAATGTTTCTACTCTAGCTGGGAATCGAACCCAGACCCTCGCCGTGTGAAGCGAGAGTGTTAGCCACCAGGCCACCAGAGCCTCGAAAACTAAGAATTTTTTTTGTAGTAAAATATCTAAATTAAGACAATTCTTTATGAAGAAAATTCTTTACGAATAAATTCCTCATTTTTTTCTTTATTATTAAACTTCTTGATAAAGAAATATCGTTATATCGTATGGGCCAGTAGGCCTTCTGCAGTGTTCCTACATTCTTATGTTCTTATGTTCTTAAAATATCTGTGCCATTTACCTATAATATTTATTTCAGATATAATAACACTTTATCAATGTTAAATATCTTGGCAATACTGTAATTGGTTATCTCTCTATATTAAACGAATTTTCGTTTTATGTCGTTAATTAAAGGATAATAATAAATTATGAATGCAGAATAATTTATTGTTATAAATATAATTACAGTGAATGTACAGAAAGAAGCCAAAAATATCATCAGAGGAATGGTAACACAGCTGTAGTTTGTCACACACGTAGATGGTGAGACAGGTGGATGGTCTTACAGCTGCAGATGGTTACACTGGTAATTACTTGGACTCATTGGAGTCGAAGTAGCGAGGTCTGGGTGCGGCGTAGCGGGGAGCCTCTCTGGACTCGAAAGAGTCTGGGTAGCGAGCCTCACCATCGTATTTGACGTCAGCCAAGTAGCCTGAGTCACCATCAACTACATAAGTCACAGTCTGCAGACGACCGTCGGGAAGCTGTACGTAGTACGACCCCTTGGTGTCGTCACCGTCGCGGGTCTCCTGGTGACCGAAGTCGTTGCCGGAGTCGTCGTGTTTCACAGCATAATTGAAGTTGTACTGAGCCTCACTAGACTCATATGACTCACCAGAAGAAACTCTCTGCATAAAATATAACATATGTACGTTATTATATTGTAAACAACATGAAAGATTTCATCCAATCTTCCTATACAAAAGACACAGAATGAACATCATATATCCTTTATGATATTTTGAAAGACATAAATCATTTGCTATTTGCTCAGTGAATTTTTGAAATTTAATTTAATTTTGAAGTATTTATGGACTATAGTGTCAATATTTTGATGTGAGTAGACCTACTTTGCTTTAGGGAGTAGGCCTATTTTACTGCAATCATATGTTTTTATAACGAAGAAACGTACCCTAGGGGCAGCATAAGAGAAGGTCTCCCTGCTGTCTGCTGCTGCCACGGCTGCCAGGCCCAACAAAATCAAAATCTTTAAGCAAAAAACTGATGTTAGAGACAGTAACATTCTTGTTTAAGAGAGTTTATATCTTTAATATATCATTTCTGTTTGTAAATATCCAGTCTCTGGAGCAGAGGACATGAGTGTATAACTGACTAGGTAAGAAACCTACCTTAGTGTTCATGTTGTGTGTAGTGAAGTCTGGAGGAACTGACTGCTGGTCACTCTGCAGCTAACCATTATATACCACCCTGCCTCACCTAGGTCACTCAAGGTCAAGTTTTTCTTGTATATTTACCAACTTCCTTTCGGCCTCAGATGTAAACTGTTGGTATTCTCTGTTAAGAAACAGAAGCTCTATTTTAAAATTATATTTGTTTTTGTGGGGTATTTTGGAATAATATATATACGAGATATTCGTCATATATATAATTATCATAATATGGACCTAAATCTGTCGGGGTTATACAACACGTGAGAAATGGGAAGTAATCCGGTTTGATCCAAGGAAGAGGAGTGCTGCCTGCTTCAGCATTCCCAAAATTCATTTAGGCGTTTCTCAAATCAACTGAGTGTTAAAAAAAAGCGTAGTTCCTGCAAATAAACAGAAGAGATGGGAAGTCGAGAAGTGGTCTTGTCATGAAGCAGACCCAAGTATCATAAAACCACGAAGATTATTAATCGTCAGTCTTTCATTACGAATGGTTTTGACTTTGTGATTATTATAGCGCATGACGTAATATATAGCTTACATTTTTCCTTAATGCACATGACATTCAGTGTGATAAATTACTGTGTTTAATCAGTGGCGGCGCAAAGACGGAGAAAAGTTGATGGAAAGTCCCCATAATCTCCATTAACTCCCAAATAATAATAATACTAATACTAATACTAATAATAATAATAATAATAATTTAAAAATAAAATAATAATATTATTATTTATTATCATTATTATTAATTATTATATTAAAAATTTAATAATGAACAATAAATAATTAATTTTTAATTAATAATAAAACTATATAAAAATTAATATATGAGAATAATAATATATAAAGTACATAATAATTCATAATAATATATAATAATAACTAATATTAATATATGAAACACTAATAATAATAATAATAATAAAATAATAATTTTATTAATATCAATAATTATTTTTAAATTTAATAAAAATAAGTTATAATAGTAATATATAATAATAAAAAATAATTAATATAATAGTAATAATAAAATAATGATTATAAATAATAATAATATTATATATGAATATTTTATTAATAAAAAATTAATTATAATAAAATAATAATAATAATAATAATTAAAATAATAATAATTAATAATAATTTAAAAATATAATAATAATAATAATAATAATAATAATAATAATAATATAATAATAATAATATTGAAACAATAATAATAATAATAATAATAATAATAATAAAAATAATAATTAAAAAAATAATAATAATAATAATAATAATAATAATAATAATAATAATAATAATAATAATAATAAAAAATAATAATAAATAATAATAATAATAATAATAATAATAATAATAATATATATAATAAAATAATATAATAATAATAATAATAATAATAATAATAATTAATAATAATAATAATTGAAACAATAATAATAATAATAATAATAATAATACATATAATAATAATAACAATAATAATAATAATAATAATAAATAATAATAATAATAATAATAATATAATAATAATAAAAATATAATTAATAATAATAATAATAATAATAAAATAATAATAATAATAATAATAATAATAATATAATAATAATAATAATAAAATATAATAATAAATAATAATAATAATATAATAATAATAATAATAATAATAATATAATTGAAACAATAATAATAATAATAATAATAATAATAATAATAATAATAATAATAATAATAATAATAATAATTGAAACAATAATAAAATAATAATAATAATAATAATAATAATAATTGAAACAATAATAATAATAATAATAATAATAATAATAATAATAATAATAAAATAATAATAATAATAAAAATAATAATAATAATAATAATAATAATAATAATAATAATAATAATAATAATAATAATAAAATAAATAATAATAATAATAATAATAATAATAAATAATAATAATAATAATAATAATAATAATAAATAATAATAATAATAAAATAATAATAAAAATAATAATAATAATAATAATAATAATAATAATAATAATAATAATAATAATAATAATAATAATAATAATAAAAATAATAATAATAATAAAAATAATAATAATAATAATAATAATAATAATAATATATAATAATAATTGAAACAATAATAATAATAATAATAATAATAATAATAATAATAATAATAATAATAATAATAATAATAATAATAATAATAATAATAATAATAATAGCATTATTTCAAGACATGTTCCTTTGCACCTTCCAACCAGGCAGTCACTAGCACGACCCTCCTTTACGGGTATTCCAGAGTTTTCACTGTTCTTGTCAGGTATTCACTTTATATCTCCACAGCAGTGAGAAGACATTAAATGCAGACAAACCTTTAAATGGCCCGATTTGATGTTGCAACATAGTTAATACAGAGATTAGAGCTTTGTCTCTTGGTTACGTCCTCTAGACAGAGAAAGTGGCAAAGATACAGAGCTTTTATCTATGTATCAAGAATGAGAGTCACTGGAATGCGGCTGACACAAGCCACAACAAAACTCATAAACAGGAGTTTAATCTTTACACGATGTTTCGATCAGTTTTGCACCATCATCAAGTTCAGAAGCAATAATGGCCCCAGATCAAAACATTATCAAACGATTTCTTTTCACTTTGTTAGTTCATTGTAGACAGTTTGTTTTGATACTGGTGAAAATAACTCTTAACCCAATTGTATACCATTCCCCAAGTGTTGTATGACTCCCCCATATTTAAATTAACACTAACCCACTTTTGTCTTGCGTAACAGGATGTTAAACGTCTGATGTTCAAGAGGCGACCTTCACCAGGGAGAAGGTCGGCCCTAATAACACCTTTATCATAAGACGTCTCCCGGTAACAATATCAATGCTTCTGAAAGTAACCTTGATTCTTAAATGGACAAGCCAACACACCCTTGATTACCTTCTGCAACTTGCAATGAAAGAGACAGGAATGAAAGGCGGACTGCCAATAGGAATAAAGAAAATCTTCCAAGGCATTATTGACATACTTTACAGTAAGCCACTAGTTAATCGGAGCATTTCAAGTAACTTAAGCCCATTATAACTCTAGAAGAACTGCTGATTAGGTTAATTTACTTGAATGTTACAGCTGGCAAACTTTGATGTTATATACAACTATTTAGGATACATTCTGGGACATTTAAGTAAGTTTATTCAGGTATACACAAATACAGTTACATAGATTATCATAGATAGCAGCATATGTGTAGAGAACCTGTGAAAAAAAAAAAAGTCAAAGTGACTTATTTCCATTGGCGTCCTTTTAATACCTTATTGCTATACTATAAAGGAGATATACTAGGAATAAGGTAAAATGAGCTATTTACACTTACATGTGTGTTAGCTTAAAAAATAAAAAATCATTCTCCTCCCTTTCTGTAGCTACATTCATTACGTACCTTTTGGTTCTCTTCTTGAACTGGTTCATGTTATGACTGGCTTTGACATGTGCAGGCAGTCTGTTCCATTCCTTTATTGCTGTACAATAAAAGATGTTTGAAGCCTGGCCACTGACTGTGGGTACTACAAAGATGTGCTTTCTCCCCCTCGTACTATGATTGTTTTGGTTCCCGACCTTGACAATATTGACAGCAAGATAATCTGGACACTGTTTGTGGGCAATTTTATAATCTTGATTTAACTTCTGTTGTTTTACTCTGTCTTCAACATTCAGCATATCCAACTGCTGTAATTCATTCTGGCCTACATGTTCTCTTGGACCCAGGACCAGGACCCAGGTCCAGGACTCAGGTCCAGGACCCAGGTCCAGGATGAATCTTACCATTTTGTTCTGGGTGATTTGCAGTCTTTCAGTGTTTTTGTCAATAATAATACATGATACATTAATACAATAATAATACCTGATACAACTATTACAGACTTAGGTGACATCACTGACATACTATATAGAAAGTCCCTGGTTATGCTGAACATTTCGGGCAATTTGGGTTATTCCTGTCACCCAGGATGCGACTCATTCAGCTAACACCCAGGTATCTACTTACTGCTAGGGGAACAGGGGTACCAGATGCAACAAGACTAACACACCAGGTACCTACTTACTGCTAGGTGAACAGGGGCAGTAGGTGTAAAGAGTCTAACACCCAAGTACCTACTTACTGCTAGGAGAACATAGGCAGTAAGTGTAAGGAGACTAACACCCAGGTACCTACTTACAGCTAGGAGAACAGAGGCAGTAAGTGTAAGGAGACTAACACCTAGGTACCTACTTACTGCTAAGTGAACAGGAGCAGTAAGTGTAAAGAGACTAACACCCAGGTACCTAATTACTGCTAGGTCAACATGGGCAGCAGGTGTAAAGAAACATGCCAACGTTTCTCCCGTGACGGTGATCAGTGCTGAACATTCAGTGTGAGTCAAGGACGCTACCAATCAAGCCCCGAACTCACAATATATCCCTTTAAAATACATTGGTCATAGCAAGAATAGTGTGAATACTAATGCTACTGAGAAATTGGGCTAATTTATCTATGAGGTAGATTTATTACGTACTGTTTTATTATATTTTTCAAGCTGGGGACAGATAAGGAACTTTTTTTTGCATCTTCTGGGAGTTCTAAATTTAAGAGACCTTTATTTGCATGGACGTTCGTGGATTATATCAAAGAGGCACTTGTTTTTTGAATCGTGTTTATGTGTTCTGTTGTATCTATCCAGGAAGAGACGGTGTGCTAAGCTGAATCGCCTCACTTTCTTGTATATACGTATATCCCCTATTTTCCGGCATATAAGGCGCATAACACAAGCATCATTAAGGTAAATCAGTAATCATATTCAAGGGCTAATTACCCTCTTACTTTATGCTAAAGTGTGACTTAAAGCCTATTCTTGACACTGACCTTGAGCATACAAGGCGCAGGCTGATTTTCTAAGACTTCTTGTGAAAAAAGTGCGCCTTATA